ATACCGACAAGCGCTCATCGAGAAGTGCTCGATATAAGTCCCTTCCGGACCAACGGTGCTTCTTCAACCTTGCAGATCCACGGTCCACATCAAATGTGTCGGCTCCAGAAGCGGGAGGCCAAGGAAACCAATACCGCCGTAGATAGATGTGTTTCGTCGACCTGTAGAAGGACCTCGAACCCAAGGAGAATTTCTGCGGATGATGCCGGGGTGCCAGAATACAAAAGATGACCGCAGCAATTGTCGTACGAATGCCATAGTCTATGAAACAAAAAGTCATTACATGGAACCTTTAGTCTAGCCGCTCAAAACGGTCGCGGTTTTCGTGACGCAGCTCGTTCATCTCGAAGCTCCAACTCTATGTAGCAGTATCAAGATTGCTGCCGGGAAGAGTGGCGACCGAGGCCAGTCTAGATACCGAAGGTCAGACAGAATGCGGGAAAATATCTTTGAGAGGCGGTGAATCTGTGCATCACCACGGCCGGTTGGGCTGAGTAGCAGAGCACAAGTCGCGAGATCGATCCCGGCGCTAGAGCTGCTTTTTTTTTCTTCTCCGTTTCCCCCCTTGAAGTTGTCGCTCTTGCATTCTTGCTTGATCACCACCACCACCGCCAATCACTTGCGGTTTGGGCACTCACTGCCCCCCTTGAGGCGAATGAGTCTACTTGTCCACCCTGGGCCGCGATTGTTCGCCGCGCCGCTTGGGCACCTTGCACTCGGTTTTTTTTTTTTCATTTTTTCATTTTATTTTCATTTATTTTCTCTTCTCCTTACGGTTTCCATTTTTATTTTTTCTCCTTTTTTTTCTCTTTGTCCTTTTTTTTTTTTCTCTTTTTTTCTCTCTTTTTCTGTGCCAGATGGACTTGTCTCTGCTTGCGTTGTGAAGTACCAAGATTGAACCAAGGGAGTGTGCCTCTTTCTCTCCGGCCCATGATAGATAGTGACTGCTAATCTCAGTTGATACCCCGCATAGCGTGAAGAGGGAGCGGAGGATCCCAGAATATCTGTCGTTGATTTCTTTTGACTTGCGGACCCCCGGGGCCAGTTTATTTGAGTGTACCTTTTTAGGGTAAGTTAACCTGTGACCACGGGAATCGACCGCGTCGAGTGTTGGATCAGTACGGACATACGAAGGTACTGGGTAGAGAGAGATCGGAACGGTTTTTTATGTGAAGACAACAACAACAACAACTCGAAACGTCGCTAGACATGTCCAGTTCCTCTACAGCGTTGGCGAGCCTCCCGGGCAGCAAATTGTATATGGGCAGGTACCCGGTCCAGCCAGCGACATCTCGGAAATAGTAGCTTGAGGTGGCACGGGCGACCCGACCGACAAAGGGAGGGAATGAACCTGGGAAGGAGTGTAGCATGTGAGGGGACTTACTTAGGAGGTGTTGTGTGCCATGAGTAATCAGGTATGTACCGTATAGGTCTGACGTAAACATCAAAGCGAGCGTGAAAAGGCCAATCGATGTATGTACCCCAATGCGCCCGTTCTCGACGCGTTCATCACACCCGCTCGTGCACACATCGAACGGTGGAGAAGTCCCACGCACCTAGAAATCTCACGTCCCTTTCGTGTTTGGCAAAGTGCTCACGAGATCCCATTAGACGAGCAGCAGTGTTCTTCCGACCTGCCTGGTAAAACCACGGTCGACATAATGTGTGGACTCCAAAGAGGCTGGGGCGGAGGCGAGCAGTACCACCCGTACCTGTGCTTCGTCCACCTCAAGGAGGTCAGCGCCTCGGTCAAAATATAGTTGCCGTGGAATGATTTACTTTGACTAGAGACAACCGCAGCTTGCTGTATAAGCTTCTACATAGACTATTCATACCTATATCGTCCGTCCAATCATCTGTAGTCTATGTATTGATCGGCCTTTCGTTCGTCCGCATGTTTGCACACGAGGTTCGGGTCCTCACCGGTCGGACTCTCGCCCCCACCGCCGAGACCAAAATGGACTAGAGTAATCCTTCAGATAGAGATTGTGCCTGGTAAATTATGTGCAGCAGGCAGCGGCATGAATCGGGTTGACTGTCACTGGTTGCTGCTTGGTTGCATTGTAGCATTGATTGTTGTTACAAAAGTGTTCTGCTGTACAATAATGCCGTCCACAAGAGGCAGCAACATCAGACCAGCTTCTGATTAGAACATCGCAGGGTGTCAGTGGACGTGCATGTATGGGGCAAAGGCGTCGGGCTGTATACATGATGATATTGCTGCAGGTTTGCGTATTGGAGATTAATTCATGACAAAGCAGAGATGGTGGAGAGGTATGTTGCAGGAGGAGTGAAACAAACGTCTGTTGAAAAACCTCAAGGAGCGGGAGGTGAAGAAGTGAAGACACCCGTGTGACATCTCAAGCAACCAAAGTACGGAGAAGAGGACACGGAGAAGCAGCGGCCGAGAAGGGCGACGAATGCACCAGGCTAGGGGGCAAGGACAGAATGAGTGCAATAAGGCAGGGTGTGAAGATAGAAACTAACTGCTGTTGGGGGACACACAGCGTACATACAGCAGCCGAATTCATTCGTTGTTTTTCAAAGAGTCCGGAAGAAGAAATCGATTTCTTAATATTATTTTATGAGCAAGAACAAGAACGAACTGCTACAAGCACGCACACCGCTGAGGGTAGACCCCGATCCCAGTCCAATCAAACAACGACGCAAGAAACATTCAAATACGCAAACATCAGACAAGGTGGTGCCACCGGTTTCCAACAACAAGTGAAAAAATCATCTTGGAACACTTTTTTACGCTATCGCATGCACAAGCCTGGCGAGCCAGGCTACGGCCGGTATCACACAGACAGGCAAACACGCACCACTACTGTAGCACAACACCGAGGGCAACCCAAGTGGAAGATGGTGTCACCACGACCCTGACGCAGCAAAGGCCGCGTCATGTTTGGTGGTGCAGCAGACCCAATTCACACCATCACAACGCGCTCCCCCCGCCCTTCCTTCCTGCTTACTCCGAATGGAGAGAAAAACGGCTACTCCGAATGGAGACAAAATGCGGGGGGGGGGGGGGGGGAGGGGGGGGCAGACAACAAATCCTGCGCAAATCCGCAGTGCTTCGCCAGTGAAACCGACAAACTGCTGTTGCCACCAACAACTGCTGCCGCTGCTGCTGTTGCTCGCAACGTTGGATGATGCCCGAATTGGTGATTGCGCGGAGTAGTTCAAGAACCACAGCACAACAGCAAAACACGTGTCTTGCCCAACCTACTGAGAACTGGAAGCCGCATACTTGGTGCAATGTCCTGATTGGAGTCGACAAACGAATCCAAGGCAACCCGAAACGGGTCGGAAAAGGGCAACCGACCTGTAGGGTGTCGGATCGCCGACGGGATTTCGAAACCAGAAAGAAACAACACGAAAAATCGAACATGAAAATCAACACAAGAGACCAAACGGGTCACTACGCCGCCGTATCGGCGCGGGCTCAACAATGCACCAATCACCACACACCCACCCAACATCGCGATCGCCGCAAATGAAGGCATATAAATCGATGATATCCACTCAGCACAAGCACCGAAAAATCTAACCTCCACCCTCTCCAGGATACCCACCTTCACAACCAGGTCACTTACGACACACACGCCCCAACGCGCGCCTCCTCTTGAAGCACCAACTTTGATGCCGCCATTTTTGTCACAATTTGAAAAGCAAAGCCCAAAGCGGATCATGAGGCAGGCACCCACCGCATCTCACTCCACTGATGGTCAAAATGGGGCTGACCTAGTAGCTTCGCTAGGGGCTCCCAAACCCTACGACTAGGGCCTTCCAAACGATAAGCTAAAAACCCCAAACATGGCACGGTGGTCAGGAGCTAGCACCGACGCCTCCACTCCCCTGGTATCCAACGTCAACGTCATATAGACCTACCGCGCCTCGGTTAGGCACGTACCCGTCCGGAATTGATTGTACGCCAGAACTCGCGTTGTCAACTCTATCTACACTCAGCGCAAGAGGGGCTTCGTTCGCTCGCTGCGGCGGCTCATTGTCAACCCCCCCTCCCCCCCCCCCCCCCCCCCTTCTGTTTTATCATTTTCCCCTCTGTCGGGCGCCGCACCCACTTTCGGGAGACAGGCCCCGGCGTCCTGACATCGCGGCGCCAAGATCGGCCGCGCCCAACCACGAGCTGAATTGTCAGGATTTCTCCGAGTTCCACCATGTACTGCGAGTGATGCGCCCCATTTGATGATAGGATAGTCCATGAACTAAATACCGTTATCCCGACATCATCCTTCGCTGGCAAGATTGATGCAAATCCAAACGTGCAAACAGCTTTATGAATCTCTAAAGCATGCACACGCT